GTTTTTTTGAGTATAAAAATGCAAGGTTTGATAGCAGGGGAAGGAGCACTAAATAAACCAGTCCTTTGCTTCCAACTAACCGATTTTAAATACAGGATTTTTTTATTATTATTATCATGGAAAATCAGCGTCCAAGAGTCTGGACTCTGGCTCGCAGCCTGGCTGGTCAGCTTCGTTTCACCTGCCGCCAGTCGCTGCGGTTGCTCATTCAAACGGCAACGCCCCTCAAAAGGCCCCTCGACTACTACCGGCGCTACTTTGCCACCGTCGAACAGGTGACCGGAACCGGAACCGGAGCTGACCAGTCAAAAGATCGCCAAAATGTAATTGGCCTGTGCACGGTGTACAGCATCCTGCTCGCCTACTTTGCCCTCTTCAATGCGTTCCACTTTTTCCTTCCGCCTAACTTTGTCATGCGAGTCCTCCTCGGCGACGTGGTGGCCGCTCTAGGGCTGGACACCCAGTTCAATTCTTTATCTTCACCATTCTATCATTTTACTCCATCTTCATCAACTGGCAGATGTACTTTATGGTGAATCAAAAGAATACCTCCTTCTTGAAGAGCGTCTTCCAGTGTCTTCCAGTCGAATCGTCAAATCAGGCCGTCTCTCCGGTTTTATCTGCTGCTGAAAATCGAAAAAACTCCAACCAATCAACAACAACAACAGCAGCAGAGGGTAACAACCAGACAAAAGCTGTCCTCAACCAGCAGCACTGCCTCATCATGCAGCGCTTTGTCCTGCTAGCCATCAACACTCTGCAAGTCTTCATCCTGATCATCGACCTCTGCCTGTTGGTCTTCACGCCAATGGTAGTGGCCACCTGGCTCCGAACACAGGAGTTCATCACCTTTGAGCACCTCGTGACCTCGGGAGTTGAAAGCCAAGATGGCCAGTTGGAGTGGCGGCTTTTCCTCCTCTTTTTCTCACCGCACTTCTCTTCCACCTCGCTCTCAACTACCTGTTCTGGTTGAGCCTGGCCCACGGGATCATTCTCTTTGCGGTGAAACCGGCACGACGGCGCTCACCTCGGCGATATTCCTCGTCTTTGCGGAGCACTACGCCTGCCTGGCAAAAGCTCTAACAGCGGTGATGAGCAGCAACAGCAAAAACAAAAACAAATTTTCAAAAAAGCGGGCACAGAAGGAGGAAGAGGCGCAGCTGGTCGGTCTGCTGCGCCAGAACGCCGGCCTCTTCCACCAGCTCGTCTTCGAGGGCATTGTCTTCTACAGTGGCAACTTCTTCCTCTACATGGTCCTGCACGTTCCAATAGCGGCCATCTTCTCCATGGAGGTTCTCTTTAATAGACACCAGACAGGCGTGGACATCAACGAGGGCAGCAGCAGTGGTGGTGGTGCTGTTGGCTTCTCGCGAGCCGTCATGGGGGGCATCGTCTGCGAGGCAGTGGTCGGCACCTTCCTCGTTCACCTCTACTGCGCCTTCTACTCCAGGTACCTCCACCGAGGTGGGCGGATGTTGGTGAAGTGGTGTGGAACTGATCATAGCGGCAGCTGTGCAGTCAAGCTCTCGCCGAGAGCGCAAATTCTCGTCTGGGTGCACCTTCAGCGGCTTTGGGTGCGCAATCAGTACGGCCTGACGTACGGCGGCCTGGGGCTGATCTCTCTTGGCTCTTTTTTTAAGTTTGTGCTCTTCTTTGGAGAGCTCCTCATGACCTCCTACAGTTTGGTTCATTAGCCGAGAGATATCTGTTGAAAGGAAGAAAAAAAGTGAAAAGTGTGCTTTATTGTATAAAACGTAGCAAAAAAGGTTATGTTTTACTACTAAAATAAACAATTCAATTCAGGCTTTACTACAATCCAAGTTATAAAAAAAACACTTCTCGTTCTCACCAGAGTGAGCACTTCTTCACTGGGTTCATTGCTGAGCCCAGCGGACACTGGAAAGCAGTGGCGAAGGCGGGCATGTTGCCCAGGACGACGTTGACGCGGAATCGATTCGGCGAGTGGGGGTCACTATTGATTCGGCGTCGTGCCTCCTCCGGCGTCACATTCTCGCACAAGCTGTGGGCGTAGGAGGTGAAGAAGAGCTGGTCGGCGGTCAGCTTCAGGGCGCCGGGCAGCACCTCAGAAGGCCGACGGCCGCCCAGCGCCTTTTGGTGCTCGCGGTAGGCAGTGAAGGCCTTCTTCACTCCTGATGATAATTGTAATGGTTATTTGGTAAAAGGTGTGTGTATTAGAGTAGTAGTGGTTGTTTCTCTACTCTGTCATTCCGCTACTGTCATACCTCCGTTGTCGGCGATGTTCTCCGCCAGGGTCTGCGCTCCGTTGAGCACCTTCCGGGAGAGGGGCTCCCGCAGGGCGCCGTACTGCTCTACAAAGCACTGTGACTTTTCGTTGAACTTAGCTAAATCTTCAGCTGACCACCACTTTTTTCGCTGCCCATCTTTGTAGTACAATGCGCCGCGGTGGTCGAAGGCGTGCGTCAGCTCGTGGCCCACTACCGAGCCGATGGCGCCGTAGTTCATTGCGTAGGGGCGCTGGTGGTCGAAGAAGGGCGCCTGGAGGATGCCCGCTGGGATGGCTGCAAAAAAAGGTAAAAAAGAGATAAAAAAATAGACTGAAAAAGGCTTTGAAAAAAACAGCAGCCACCTACTGATAGAGTTCAAGTATAGGTAGTAGATGGCGTTCAACTCCGTAGGGTCGTCCAGTGCCCAGTCACCTTTCAGTGTCTCCTGGTGCAGCCTGGCCAGATTCGTCCGCCGATCGTCAATGCGCAGAGTGAGAGCACTTTCAAAGAACTTTCCCCGTTGAATGGTCCTGTTGTTGAGCTGCGGGTACTCCCTGCTGATCGTCTCATCGGAGATGAGGCGGACGTCGTAGCCGACCACCTGCCTAATTGCCTCCAGCTTCTCCACTGCTGCCTTTCTCGACTTCTCGTCCAGCCACTCGGTGTGCTGCTGCAGGTCATCCCTAAAGGCGATCCTCAGCGACCTGACCAGCACTTCCGCCTCCGCTTTCTTCGCTGCCGAGAAGTGCGTGTCAATGTAGAGGCGCGCCAGTACGGCGGGCCAGTGCCGGGGCAGCCGTTTGCAGGTGGCCCGCTCCGCCGCTGGGTCGAAGAGGCCGCCGTTTTGCTGCTCGAAGATTGCCCGCCTGAGCGCCACCGTCGACCAGCGCCCGCCCAGCTGAACGGTCATCAGCAGGCCGAGCCAGTTCTGAAGCACCGAGGTGGGCGTCGCCTCGAGGATGGCCACCGCCTCCACCAGGTAGGGCAGCCCCTGAACGTGCACCGCCTCAGTGGGCGTCACCGGAGAAAGGACCACTTTAGCGAGAGAGAGTTTGGCAAGAATGCGGTTCACCAGCGAGTGAAAGGCAACCACCCGGCTGCTACCCTTCAGGGCAATCGACAGATCGGCAAAGGTGCCGTCCAGGTTGTGGTGCTGATGCGGAGAGGCCTGCAGGGCGGACTGGTAGGCCTGG